ATACCAGTCCGAAACATTTGATGTGCTCTATACTCAATAGACGGATATAATTTCTTTGCCCAATGCAGAGGAGTGGAAATCCTTTTTTTCTTTTTTAGAGAGAGAGTCTTGTTAGCAATCATTATGTTTGGAGTGGAAAACCGAGAAGGGAGGGGGGGGGGTAAAGAGTCATCTACCCTCTTGGGATGGATTTCACTAGGATTTGGAGTGGATCTAACTCCAAAGGGAGTGATCCCTGATATAAATTCTGCAATGGTTTCCAATCCTCGACATTGAGGAATTATTAAATTATATTCTTATAACTATGTCAGTTAACATGTATGAAACCTTTCTCCGGATGTACGATGCAGATGATGAGGAACCCATTCTAAGCTGTACTAACGTCATTTATTCCACGACTGATGGAGTGACAGCAACGGACATCGATGTGAACCCGCCAGCATCAGACAATGTGGATAACAGTCTACCTGTCGTCTGCTCTCACAGTAGCAGTTCCAGGTTCCCTGCTGGGAATACCAACGTCTCCTGCAATGCTACAGATAAGGCGGGAAACACTGCTTTCTGCACGTTAATCGTTACAATCATGGGTAAAGCATAGTTTCGAATTCCTAGTACTCAAGTACAAATTTCGAGACTTACAATAGATCGAAATATGAGTGCCGTCATACTTGCCGAGTTGTCAAGGTTGCTGGTTTTGTGCTAAACAATGGTGTGCTGATCACACTAGCCCCAAAACATTGCATTTGCCCTGCTCCAGCACATTGCTTCTATGATTTAGCAGTGAACCTCTTGCCCAGACCAGTAATCAGTAGCGAGTATGACGTAAGCACTTCGGTACTCTATTAAATCACACAAAGCGTCCAAGAATTAATAGATTTGGTCTTGACCTCGTTGATCTGACTGAGGTGATATACCACATTCACGTCGCCAAACCGACTCTAAATAAAACAGACCTTTTTTTCAGCCACTCGGGTTATTAGAATGTTTTATTCGGTCTATTAGCCATGAGTTATCACTTTTTGATTGAAACTTTTTGCACTGTAGACGCGGTAGGAGAGAACGATGCACGGTCACGTTAGTGTCATCCCACCAATGAGATGTATAAAATGTTTTATTCGGGTTATTGTGGGTGACGTATCAATTTTTGATGCAGTCCATGCAGATGGGGGCATGGTTGTCTGGGGCTGGTGGCTGAGGAAAAATTTTCATTGGGAAAAAAAAAGTGCGCATCCCGCAAACACTTCTTTATTTTAAACTATACACAATTTCATAATACAAGAAAATACTAAATGCAACTGTTGTGAAACTATCCTCAATTCCATAGTTTTGTAAACCTACAAACTTTTATCACAGCATCATATATCATTTTACAAATATATGTATCGTGTCAAAATCTTAGTCGGAAACACCATGACCCGCATACAGTGTCAGCTTCTATTTCTATTTATGTATCATCACAGTTAATTGTAGCTCTGATCCTTGTCACAACGGAGGAAACTGCTCCAGCAGTGGATGCACATGTCCTTCCAGTTACATTGGAAGTACCTGTAATGGTGGTGAGTAAATATTCTCATCAGATTTTAAAAAAATTACTGATGTAAAGTGTTGGATTTTTTTTTTTGTATAGCTCTACCATTCATGCAGAGTCGAAATACTATCCCACCACCGCACAATCAATGATGATGTAAGCCCTCTCGGTGATCATGTACAGTACATCCGATTCAGATATGCATGTGTCATTTAAGCGAACCGTTAGGTCGTCTTACTCTGCACGTACCGTGCATACTATCATCCATTACTCTGCTAGATAAGTTATATAATACGATTGTATTGACGAGATCTCTAAGGCTGCAGATATTTCTGCATATGCACATAACAATCAACTTTTACACAGCACAGTAGAATTAAAAAGTTAAATTTTGAATGCAAGACTTAAAAGGTAATCTGAAATGGTCCAATGTCCTTTGTGTGAACAATCTTTGTTATGTATTGTTGTCTTGATAATAAGACACACTAAAATGTGTTAGAAATTCCTTTATTATTTTCCATACAGTTGACTGCGGAACCAATTCTTGTCTTAATGGAGCAACCTGTTCAAATGATAGTTGTCTCTGTCCTGCCAATTATAAAGGAATCATTTGTGAAACAGGTAACTTTTATAGATAAAAAAAGATACCTATCCCTTTTTTTTTTATCTAATCTTTAAAGTTTTAGGCATGTATTTAAAGAGATTCGCCCAATTTAGGTATAGCACAACGCGATGAAGCCCAAGCTCTGCAAGTTATACGTCTTAAATGATTTGTAATGGAGATGAAGGCAATAATGATGGATAGAAGGTGTGACAGAAGAAACAGACAAGACATTCAGAGAGATGTGCATTAGTAAACAGGCCAAAGTAGCCTGGACATGATTTGTCTATGGGGTCATCAGCAGTCGACGACTCGATTGCACCAACAAAACAAAAAACACCTCCATATTTCAAAACTCGATTTTATTTAGTTTAGGGGACTCTTTGTTTCTGGACTGTAATGTACCTTTCCCCAGAAACACTTCAAGTTTGAGAAAATGGCAATTCGGGGGAGATAACATTGGGCTCTTGGTGAAATTTAAGTTGATGAAGAAAACATGATAAGAAAATTCTTCCCTGGGCGAATCATTACATATTTCTGAACCGCAAAGTTTTGAACGAATTTACCCAGAAGGAACTGTGATTGCAGTTCAAAATTCAAAAAAATTAATGTGCACTGAGAGATGGTAAAATTAATGAATGTCGGTGCTGTGTGTAAGTCTTGGGCTGGTAAATAATCTCCTGACACTCTGCTGACCTTGAATCCATTATTTCACGGATGACTGAGCACAAGTGAAAGGAATGCATAACCAAAGCTCAAACATTATCAAAGTTGTGTCATTACTACAGTATTATTGAGAAACAGGTTCCATTACCTTGTAAACTGATCTACCGATATCGTATATAATGTCCATAATTGGATCCAATTGGGTGAAATCATGGTAATTTGATTCATAAAAGCTTCATTGATATACTTTTTGTTATGCTACGTTTACACTATGTTCCCGGCGGCCACGGCAGCCCCGTTTGCCCGAAACGTAGTGCGCATTAGGATTTAGACCAATTTTTATCTCTGGATTTAAGTTTTGTTAAGTCTTGCCAAGTTTTCTCACGGTCTACCACGGTATCCGTGACGGGCCGTGGGGGGATGCTGAGTCCCGGAGGCTCCAAGGCGCACTGCGGTTCGGCCCGCGTTCTACCAGGGATGACAGAGCGTTCCCTCCCGGTCCCTCACGTTCTGTTGGGGTCCTTCACGTTTCTCACGTTTTTATCAAGTTCTGACACGTTTTTCACGTTCTGTCAAGGCTTTCTACGGATGAAACGTGGACGCCGGGCGGCTTTGGAGCACGGTTGTGCCCACGGTATAAAAAGAAGGCCTCCCAAGCACTACTGGTGGTGGTGGTGCAGGGCGGAGGGTTTTCGAACGACTTGGCTTCTTCGGTGGCATAGCTTGACCTTCTTTCTTCGTATTGATTAACGCGACAAAACGGCTACCATACACCCTGGTTGTGGCAAACCGTGGGAAACCGTGGCAAACCGTGGCAAAACGTGGCAAAACGTGAGAAAATGCGCAGCAACCGTGAGGCAACCGTGACAAAACGTGCACTAAACGTGGCAGACCGTGACAAAACTTGAACAGACCGTACGATGCCGGGGAATGTGCGGGCCTACCGTCCCACTACGGACCACCTCCCAGTTTTGTTACGGCCTATTACGGACTGTCACGTTTTGTTACGTTCACCCCGTTTTACGACGGCCTACTATGTTTCTCATCCGCACCGTGACTGCCGTGGCAAATTTGTTGACAGTTTAAAAATCTGACACGGTATCCACGGCAATCACGGCCTGTCACGTTTGGCCATACGGTCCCCCGAGTTGTGTCACGTCAATCCCGTATCGTCCACGGTGGCCTGAAACGTGGTTGCCGTGCCCGCCGGGAACATAGTGTAAACGTAGCATAACAACGTTTACACTACAGGTCGGCTTGTACGGGCGCCACCACTTCCGGAAGTAACGGTGAGTAAGAATGGGTCAGTGGAAGGTCGTGTTAACTTAATCGTGGCAAGTTTTTCCGAGTAAGAGCGTTTGGACAACTAATGGTGTACGTTAAATATTTATAGAATATTTGTTAATGCAGGGAAAAACTTACGCTGGGTAGGAATCCACGTCTAAACATGGTTATTAATAAATGCAGCTACATGCTTTAAATTTCTTCTTCTGTTTTACCTGTTTAATCTTCCATTGCAGATGTAAATGAATGCCAAGAAAGTGACCCATGTGCGAACATTTCCAACAGTTTCTGTTTGAATAATATCGGCTCTTACAAGTGTAACTGTTATGAAGGTCACGAGATTGCGACAGTAAATGGATCCAAAGTGTGCAAAGGTAAGATCAAAAGGGTTATATGATTTTATACTGTAAAGGTACAGGGTTAAATACTAACAATTGCCCAACATGGGAGTAATTATGTGTCAAATCAATTTTAGCACAATTTCATCCCCATTTTGGTATATATGGTTTACCTAATCACCATCAGCTTTTACTACAAATTGGGCAAAATCGCCCAATTTTGTATTATAAATGTTCCAATGTTTGTCGGACCAAGAATCTTAGACAAACATCTGGGTTGAACAAATGATTACTATCGTGTTAAGAATTTGTTTACCTTGGGCACACATTTCGCTGTTGAAGTTAATCAATATATAATTAACAGAAGTACCATGTAGTCCTACTGATGACGATTGCATTATTTGCTTCCAATCTTAATTACAATCTAACAAAAAGGGATACATCAAATAAATGAAAGTAAATAAATGATAATTTAAACAACAACTGGTCATATTTTTCTTTCCCTTTCCATACCTCCACCCTTACCTCTACCTTTGCTCTCCCCCTTCTTCCTTCATATCCTTGGTCTTTATCATACAGAAGCTCCTACTGTTGGGTGTGCATCTGATTCTTGTCTCAATGGAGGCACGTGCATGGAGGAACCAACGTACCTGACATGTACATGCCCGACAGGATATACCGGATCCAGATGTGAGAGAGGTAATGGCGGAAGACTGTGATGTGGATTTCATTCAAAACACACGGGCCCTTCGTTTTGACGCGTTATTCGATATGGATCAAAACCGTTTACGACCACGTGTTTTTTTTTTTATTTTATACAAATCTGGTCGAGCTGATCCACCAGCGTTTATCCCTATTGCTCTTGCCACTTACCGAACCTAAGTAGCGGTCATGAGACCATGAGCATTCTGATAACGTTGAAATATCTTCTTTCAATCGATTGGTAATGCACAAACGATAGACCATTGATTTAGAGAATAAGTCGAAATAAATGGATAATTATATTAGAGTAGGAAAAGTTCCATCGCATTAAACAATTGATTTATACTGATCTATCTTCCGAATAATGTAATTCTCCTCGTTTTCACTTTGTGCGTTTTATTCTTTAGATCTGACCTGTAAAGGTGTTCTCTGCGATGAAAGTCAAACCTGCTTTCAAGACGAGTGTGCTTGCAGAGCTGGGACTGTTCTGGTGGACGGAATATGCCTAGGTAAAATCATTGTTCAGTTATCATATTCAGTTATAATAATTTCAAGTGTTCAACATTTATTTAAATAATCTCGGGCTTTGTTAGCTAAAGAGTACTTGTATAACCATTTGATATTTGTATGATTCTGATTAGTATTTGATTGATGTAATCGATTTTTCTACCCTTTGATTATACTATTAAGCCTAGTATTTGATATGATATATTTGTGCACAAACGATAAAAAAGAGGACATCAAATCAAATTTAATACACAAAAAGTCCTCTTCACGTTTTTCAGTAAACAAAGCTTTTGATTATTATGTCCCTTACCCCGATTATATTGTTTAGTTCCATTTTATAAGTTTTAGGTTTAATTTCACTTGTTTCGCTCCCTGCCCCTCCCTCTTTCCCATGCTGTCTCTCCTTATCCCTCGCTCACATACATAATTATACAAACACACACACACACATATTCTTTATCTCTTTCTCTCTCTCTCTCTCTCTCTCTCTACCTCTCCCATTGCCTCTATCTCTATTTATATATCTATAGATAGATAGATAAATAGATAGTTTTATTGGTCCATATATTTCAAACATAGAAAATTGGCCTCCACTGGCAGCACATAAACAAAATACAAAGTAGTTACAAAATAATTGATAAACACTTAGGTGTATACGTCTCATAATGTACACAAATTCACACGAAATCATGACATTAACAAAAAAGCATAAGTATAAATTACCTAGTAATAGGGAAAACTTAAGAAAGGATTCGACATTTAAAGATTGAGAAGAGAGAAAAAAGGTAAGGAGACTAGATTGAGGAGCAAAAATAGAAGAAAGAGGGGAGAGGGGGAGAGAGAGAGAGAGAGAGAGAAGGAGAGAGAGAGAGAGAGAAAGATAGGAACGAAAGGTGGACACGGTGGAGGAGGTAACGGAGAGAAGAGGATATAAATATCCCTCTCTTTCTCACCATATTTGTTCCCTTCTCTCTTAAAGGCGACTGTTCTCCTTCATGCAATTTTGATCGGGAACGTTGTTTACGCTCTAATACCGGGGAAGCTTCTTGCGAATGTCGTCCAGGATACAGGCCGCTCCAGGGGTCGTCAGCTAAGCTGAACTGTGTCCCAAGTAAGTTTAAGATATAGAATGGTATTAATGGGTATGCTTAAATCCTTAAAGAGATCGTACAGTACATTGCGAGAAAAAAAACTGTTCAGAAACTACACTGTCGTTCATAAAGTTGGAATATTTTAGTTTTACCCCAATTTATGGAATTATTTTAAAAATAATTTAAAAATAATAAATCTAGATAATAGTATACATTCTCAGATTTTATTGAATAATAATTTGCCAATGTGTGTTTTGCGGGACTGCTAAAGCATGTGTATGCTACCATGCTTATCAACTAGGGGACTTACGCCCTCAAGCCATAAATTACAGTAATGAGGATTAATACCCCACAAAAATGCACTAATATAGCACATCGACACGGTTTCAATCCTGGGGCCTCACAGTTACGAGGCCATTGCTTTGTCACTGAACCATGACTGTACACAGCGGGAGCTAGGGTAGGGGGTAGTTTCCATAAATTAAAAAAAAAACAGAAAATGCAATAAATTTTCAATAATTTATTGCTTTTACCCCGGTTCCCAACATAAATCTTCTGTGTGCCCATGCCTTGAGCCATAATGCATGGCCGTCCAGAGGATTTTTTTTATGTTGGGGACCGGGGTAAAATGCAATAAATTATTGAACATTTATTGCATTTTCCTTTTTTTAAATTCTTTTATGCTATATTAGTGCATTTTTGTGGGGTATTAATCCTCATTACTGTAATTTATGACTTGGAAGACCAGCAGCAACAATTATAGTTGCAGCCAAAAAAATGGGCTACCAGCCGTATACGGTCCCTTTTTTCTATGTATGATCACTTTATATGTATTTGTATCTGATTTTATTATCCGGAAATAAAAACAACAACAAAGGGCGTAAGTCCCCTAGTTGATAAGCATAGCAGTCACGTAAAACACACATTGGCAAGTTTTTATTCAATAAAAATCTGAGAATGTATACTATTATCTAGATCTATTATTTTTAAATTATTTTTAAAATAATTCCATAAATTGGGGTAAAAAAAAAATCCACCTTTATGAGCGACAGCGTATTTGGGGAAATTCCATTAGTAATTCATAAGAATTTAAGAATTCTGTGAGTGTTTGGAATGATCGAAATAAAAAGAAAAAGAAAAAGAAAATAAATCTTGCTGAGAACCACACGTACTGCACTCAAATATGATCATATGGGACTGCATACACATATGATATGAAATTTAGGTCTCCACGATAAGATAAACGCATAGACCAATAAATATGTTCCATTTGATTTGATTTGATTGCATTAATATTTTGTTTTAGATACATTGTATTTCAGCTTGGCAATAATCTGATGAACAATGATTTGATGAAAGAAACTTTATAAATCACTTGATTGTGTTGGTTTATTTTTTATCTTCACTTTCTCCAGTACGAAGGATATTCCTCATTACATTCATCATCTATCAGTTTAATGGAGCTCCTGCCATCTTTGCTAATACTTACCTAAATCCGGAGAGTTCCCAGTTTCAGATAGGCTCTTCTGCTATAGCCTACGTGGTAAATAGTTACTTTATAATTGACCTACTATAGGAACTAATTTAAATGGGGAATAAAAATGCAGGAGTCTAAAATAAATATCCACCCTTGGCGTTTAGGTTGGGTAATTCAATTTATAGTCCTCATTATTTATGGGAACAAACAATGCATGTGTACAGCGAATGATATATTTTGACATATCAACATAAATCATTCAAATAAAATTATGATAAAAGAAATGAAAGAAATTAAAGTGGATATTTTTCGTGACATTCATACTTTGTATATGCTGTATCTGTTTAATTAAGATTGGACAAAGCCATGTAGGAGTCTCTGCAGAGCATAGATATTTTACTCAACGAATACAGCAACAAATTAATTTAAAAAACCTTGTGATAGTCAACATTTTTAACAAATGTTTTTAGAAGGTGCCAATTTTTTATTTTTTTTAAAGTTCATATACCTGACCGTGCTTTTACGACACCATCCAGTCGAATAAGCCCATTGTTCATTCCCGGTAGCTGGTGATCATGTACATGCTTCTTGTTTACACCCGTTAACAAATATTAAGAACAAAATATCAATAATGTTTATATAATAGCATGAAAAGGAGCTTACCTAAACCATTCGGTGTTCCCCTCGAATGTTTTTGTTAATGAAAAGTATAGAGAGTACAACAAATGATCCTCCGATAATGTTCATAACTTGATTGGAAACGACCTTTTTGTGAATCTTCAAACAAGTCTCATTTTATGCACAGTGTGTAAAACAGGATATAAATTATGAACTCTGATCAGGTTTTATAATGGACGACAGACATTACGCTTACCCGTTCCTTTTATGTTGGTGAGCTTTACGTTAAATTCTCATTATTTGAAAATTTGTAAAATTCATATATTTAGCTGCCCAGGGTGTTGCAAGCTCGAGGAGTCACTGGCATAGTCGATGCATCCATCGGCCGCTTCTACCAAGGCAGTCTAGGAGTGGAGGTCATGCTTAGTGCTGATGACAACTTCCAAGGTACGTGTAGGTTTGCAAAGGGTATTATGCTTACCCCTTCCTGCATTAGGCGAACTTTGGCCTACGCTTGTCCATGAGCCTTTCAGATTTGAGCAATTATGTATTTATAATATCTTATTATCCATCAATTTAAAAGATAAAGTTATCATGTTTATTCGCCTGTACTTGGAACTGATGGGTGGAGAAGGGGGGGCTTACAACATATAATCACCAGCTCCTTTACACTCATAAGTTGACCTTATACATTCATGTTACAATGCAGGCATTTTTTTGTTACAAAACAAAAACAAAAAAACTAGACAAAATACATACAATTTACATAAAAGGTAGAGACAAAGTCACTTATGCCAAACAGGAAGCTTAATATATAGGAAACAACCGTTGACATATCAAAAACCATTGCTTCCTAATTGTATCTAATACAGCTTTAACATAAGAGAACAGACCACATCATGATGATGATAGGACACTTCAACGCAGGTTGGGAATTTCTAACTTAGTAGCAAAGGTCCCTGATTTAACTTAAATTAGATCAACATGTAAAACAATAAAACTAAATACTTTTGAAACCAACATGTGGCTGCAGTAAATGAGTGAATGAATACAAAAATAATACATCCTATATACATCTGGAGAAAAAAATGAAGATAACTTTGGGCTCCCTAAGAGAAAGTGCAAAATTATATTAGAAAAATGTTTCATAATCATTATTATCATCATCATAAGTATGATGTGGTTTACCTTATTTTATATTATCTTAGAGTTACAGGGTACACTATTCAAATTGAATAGTTTCGATGATTATTAGACATTGTCTAATGCATTTTTATTGTCAACGTATTTATTTTTTCCCATCTTCATATATTTTCTCATGAGAAGAAAAAGAATATTGAACTTCCTTTCCAATGTGCCATATCTATCGAATTTGATGATCACGCTATTCCACAACTCACTGCTTCTAGCCTTCACAAGGGCCTTCATACTCTTGTCTTTAACTCTTTTATCTCTTTCTCTCTCTCTCTCTCTCTCTCTCTTTCTCTCTCTCTCTCACTCTATTTCTCCTCAACCATCTCTGCAGACTCCCAAAATCATAGTACTCTTCCATTCCTCTACGCCTCTTACCTTATACCTTTTCTGTCATAACGCCAGATTTTTGAAACGTCCTTTTCTTGAATTAGAGCTTAAAAGATGAACCTTTAACTCTGAACCTTGACCTTGAAGGTAACGGGACTACCGTGACCTCTGCTATTACGGAGGAGGGAGAGAACAACGATGAACATCTCGCAGTCGATGGTGAGGACGTCCAGATAGGTTTGAGATCACTGACTGTAGCAGGTAAGACGGATCCATTTTAATTTATTTCTTTAAAAAAAACTTTGGTAATCAATCGAAGAAAAAATACGAACAGGGAAACGATTTCACAGCCATGTCATCAAGAAATAGATGTATCAAAGGCTTGGGATAAAAAGTCGTGGGTTCCATCCTCGGCATAATATTAACATTTTTTTTGACAAGACAGTACAATCTAAATATCCCTTTCTTCACCTATCAGGGACATATACATATAGTTTAGTCTTCGAATGTACTGTGCGCTGATCCCAACTGCCGGAGCTATATAAAGCTGGCTAATGATTTGCAAAGTGGTGACTGAAAAGTTGTTTCATATGTTTGGTGCTATAAAGAAACGGAATACTGTTTTTAGTATCAAGGCTAAAAAGATCTCAGATAATATTATGTGGAAAGGACTGATGCAAGACAACTTGATCTATCATTTCCATTGCTGATGTTTACGTCTTTCTAAAAAGAATTTAGTCCGATCTCATTACTTTCAACATCATTTCATTTTTTTTTTCTTTTTAGAAATTATGGATTACGATGAATGTGAGAACGCTACTCTTAACGACTGTTCTATGGATGCATCGTGTAGGGATATTTCTGGAGTCGGTTTTAACTGTACATGTAATGGCGGATTCATCGATCTTTATCCCAGTTCACTCCCGGGACGTTACTGCAGGGCTGTGCCAGGTATGCTGAACGGTTTAGATGATGTTGTCAGAGGCATAACATGAATGGGTCGCTAGCGTTGGGATCGGGGGAGGGGAGGGGGGAGGGGGAACCGCTCGTACTTTGGTGGATGAGATGCAAATCAACAAGAAGCGGAAAGTGAAGAACATGTCATAATATTATATTTGTATGTAATATTTGCAGTTTGGTATTAGGCTTCATGTACTCCTAACATAACCGCTACTAAAGCACTAGAACCAATCTTAAACGTAACCCTGCCAATACTTCATTGGCTTTAATAGGACCAATGATAAGTTATATTTTGTATGTTACTGTATTTTACTGTAAATATGATGATATTAATCTCCGGATTTTTACATTAATTTTTTTTCTCTCTTTTTTAAAATAAAAATAAACTGGAACTGAATTGAATTGAATCGATTCAGATGTATACATTTCTTTTCATTTTTGTTACAATTACAGGTGATTCGTTGAATGTGGGTTTGATAGCTGGCTTAACAGCTACAGTAGCCTTTCTACTTCTCTTCGTATTGGTGATGGCGTACATGATCATCCTTCGGTTGAGACGAAGGAAATATTCCCATAACATCCAGCGCTTCATGAGGAATCACTCCAACACCGGATACTTCTCGCGAAGTGAAGAACCCGATGAGTTACAGGTACTGAACCTTTAATTATCCTTTCTTTTTTTACTGGAACAAAGTGTTTGAATTATGAGAAGGATTATATACATGTAAAATATTTATTTGATTTTGCAATGGACAGAAAGAAATTGATATTTGCTTCAGGCTGGCTGTATTTCCTCTTTTTAGAGGGGAGGGGAGAGGGTGTATCGTCATGTTTAATAGTGATCATTTATTCGTTTCTAACCTGTCTTAAAAATGACAAAATACAGATAACTTAAAGGTTAGCAAGTTAAGATTTACCTCGTGTTGAATTTAATTTAGGAATTCTAAATGAAAACACTATTTTGAAGAAAGAATAATACTTCTCTTGCTAGACAGCGTGATAACAATGATGTTTGGTTTTACCACGCGGTCCCAAATGGTCGCTGATGCTTAAAAACAAAATTATTCAAAATAAGTCAATGTATAACTTCAGTCTAGCATTTTGTTTTATGAATTGTTCTTCTTTATTCGATCTACTTATTTGTGTAATTACTTTGATTATGTGATATGTCTTGATAATTATTAAACATTAAATCATTAATGAAAGGCATGTCATTCTTTTTTTTCTGTGGCTGTGCAGATGACGTATCGAGATGGAAGGTCGCACTCTGAATTTGATCACCATGAGCCGTCCATGCCTGATCCTGTGCATGATATAGACACGATGAACCATGGGTTTGAAAATGATATGTACGACACCGTGTATGATTACGACGACGACTTCGTCGACGATCACACCGATGAAGATCACGGACAGAGCAACATGGATCTCAGTGTGGTCTATAATGATATTGCTCATGAACTTCATGACCGTAACTACGATGAATAATAATCAATATTTAAATGACAAATCGTGACATTTGATAACAAAAAATACCTGAGTCATTTTTACTACTTCTGAGGATAAACGATAACAAATAAATCTTTCAGTGATGTTACCCGTTTTCATTTGATATACATAGGCAGATCGTTTTCATTCATACACAGTTTAAGATTGAAAATTGACTTATGGTTATTGAAAGGGGGCGGGGGGGCTCTATTCCACTAATTTAGGCGAATGTCTCAAATTTGTTTAAAGAAAATGACTGGGCAGTATTTGTTACTGCCTGCCCATGTATGTATTTTCTTTTGCTTACGCATTCTGCGAACATAATTTTTGTCATAAGGATCATAAGCAGTAAAATGTTATTTGATATTTTTGCTTGTATAGTATTCAGGTTTAACACACACGTGTATGTGCTTACTTTGGGTGTATGGGGTTGATGAGTTACTCATATTATTTGTTTCTTGTATTTTCTTGTATTTTCTTGTAAATCAGTTTAAAAAAAATTGAGTTCTGTTTTGTTTTAAAATTAATTCTCACAAAATCGAGACTTACACTGAATGTTCAAGATTACAAATAAATGTCATTTGCCAAACAATTTTGGTAGAAAATGTATACTGGCTGAGTGATGAGCATAGAAAGATAAGGTAAGTAGGCCCAACACCATTTGAGTAGTCCCACATACATCTTTATGTGTACAGCGCTTGTTACTTCACCAAGACTGGGCCAAAATTTATTATGATTTTGATGACTCCAGAACTTTGCAGTACACTCCAATAATTACATGCTACATGGTCGACTTTTTCTGATCCATTCCACACCTTTTCTTTCACATTGCAATCGCATGACCAGAACTCAACTTCATCTTTAACTCGGGAGTATTCTCCTGTATAGTATCTTATTGTATGCTCAAATTTCAATTTATAAGATGTTTGTTTTAATTTTATTTGAAATAATAATAATGGTTTAGTTATTCAAAATATACATCGCAGCCCGGGAGCATGTTATGTTTCTAGAATGTAAAAGAGATATCATTACTCATTTGAAATACCTCGTAAAGAGAACCAACTTAAACTCTCAAAGGATATGTTTGTAAGATTTTATTAGCAAGATAACAATATTCTGAAGAATATTAATTTTTATTAAAGTACGAATTTATTTGAAAACGTATATTATCGTAAATATTTCGAAAGTAATCCATAAATCTGTTTTAACGGGAATACGGTTTTAAAATAAGATCGTTTTATAAGTCATCTTAATCAATTGCATTACAATGTGTTAAAAGTAACTTGTAAAGAAAGCGCCTATCGTGTCATGAAATACCTGTCTAGTAAGGCCACTCAATGAAAATAGAAAACTGCAGACAATATTCTACAACACACATTTTTGGTCTCTCGAGGGAGGCCGAACGAATGGCCACTATAGACAGGTGGCCTTTAAAGAGAGGTGGCAACTAAAACAGGTTTGACTGCGTAACGTTTACAATGTGAGGGTTGATATCATCACAAATGTTTATCTCATTTATCTGACTTTAAAAGTATTTCAATTAATTATTAGTTTAAATGCTGATGTTTTATTCATCGATCAATCGATTGATTTATTGACTAGATAGTTTAATAGCGTATGGTGTGAATATATATATATATATATACCTCTTTTTTTCTCTCCCCCTTGTCCCCTTCTCCCACTCTCATTCTATCTTTCCCTTTCTCTCACTCAATTTATCTGTCTTAATATGTCTCTGCCTCTCGCTCTCGCTCTATCTCTCTCTCCCTCTCTCTCTCTCTCTCTCTTTCCATCTCTCTCTCTCTCTTCCTCTCCTGTCTCTGTATCTCTTATTTTCTCTTTCCTTTTCAATCCCTCCACAAAAATCAGTAACGTAAGGTAAATAGATGGTGACATTTTTGTGTTTAATTGAAATTCGTAATACAAGATAATTATAAAACATTTAATAGAAATATAAACACAATTATATTAACAATGTGTGCATTATCTTTGGTATGACATTTAAAGACTGGATTGGTCAATTGTATGTGATGAAGGCATCAGTCAAAAATTATTAGTTAAAACTAAGAATAAGAGATTCCAGAATTTGTAATCATAATACACATTTAAAGAGCATGTTGTAGCTTTAGTACACACGTTTTTCTCCTAATATGTACAATTTGCAAATAGTCACAGTGCTAGCCTCGTACTCTTTAAGATTGTGAGCTTTATTTTGAATAAACTATTCTTAAGTACTGAAAGTGTTTCCTTTTGTGTTTTATTCCGTACCTCAAGATAGCGTAAAAATGCGACTGAAGACGACAGATACACGATTGATGTCTGGAATTTTCCCCCAAAAAAAATCTCTCCATTGATCTTATAGATAGTGTCATGAAGTCATTTTATTCAGATAATTGACATACCTGTAACCATGTAACTATACATATAAATAATAAAAAGTTGACGCATATAAAGATCAAAACCAAAGTGTCAATAATCATCGTGAAAAATAAATAGCAAGTACTGTGTTTGGATAAAATGTAACCTAGTGATATCCAAGCTTAAGGTCAAATTAATAAAAAAAAATAAAAAATAAAAAAATCCCTTCATATGATGTACGAGATAACCATGAAACAATAAGGAAATGAAAAAGTGCAAACATATTCAAACCGCAGATAATACAATTCACCAAATATAACTTGCGAAATGCAATCCGACATTTAGTTCGATCCAGAGCATTGGAGAAGAGATAGTTGTTAATCTTCATTATTAACATACTTTTTGATCACGAACAGACTGGTAATTAAAGGGAAAAAAGTGAATTGTTTAGGTTTCCTGTTCCAATCATCTTTGATATCTTCTATTGCAGACCTGTATATTTACGAACATTTATGTATAAATTTGATTCAATAATTCACGTAACGTCTTAATATACGTACACATGTGACATTTGTTATACATCTAGCGGGATGTGGAGTCTTAGGGTCGGTTGTCCTGGAAAAGTTTTGCTAGGGGTCGAATGTATCATAATCGTTAAAATATCATGCTTCAATGCTGTAAAGCGTATATTAAATAATATGGTTATTTATATAGCGCCGGTATCCGCCAGGTTGTGACGATCATGGCGCTTTACACATATTACCCTGGTCGTAGCCGGTCTGCCAGTACTAGCGCTCAAGCATATCAGGTACCCATTTACACCTGGGTGGAGAGTGGCAAATGTAGATTAACGTCTTGCCAAAGGACATTAGTGCTGTGGCGGGACTTGAACCCCGTACCTTGTGATCTGCAGTCGGGTGACTTATCCACTAGTCCACAACACCTCTAGTATATTCTAGTATTCTTACGTATAAAGGAACATGGAGGCTCGGAAGTAACCTACAAGTAGTAATCTCACAATGTTGTCCGCCGCACCACTCATTTACAAAAGCTTTTATTGCCCGATTGATATTATTCAATTATTTGTTTCATATGGCCAAAGGAATTTGACAATTATCATTTTAGAAACTAAAGTAATGCTTTATGACTATGAACTATGGTATTGTTGGAAACTTACAATTATATAGAAACTGTGAAAACTGCGATATCATCTTCAGTGCCGTCTTTTTAAGCAATATTGACGTCACCAACCTCAATGGTGTCACTCTACACCAGATTTAAACAATGGTTGTCAAATGATTCAGTGATTCCATTTGTGATCATCAAATTCCTGGCAGTTTGTTTGTTTGTTTGCTAATTGTGTTTGTTTTTTGTTTGTTGGTTGATGAACAGATAAGCAAATTACATCTAACGCTATTCGTTTAGGCTTTCCACATGTTTCTTGAACGTGAAGGGTGAACTATTCTGCTGTACACAGTGTATATGGTATCATGAAAGAGCAATCAACAGCATCGCTCTCTCAAACTAGGCTCCTCCCCAACCTCATGTCAAATATATGCTTACATCTATTATAGGCCTGTGACAAGAAAAAATAATTATAAGGAGAAACTGATTTTGTTTAGTATTAGGAAGGTCGTTTTGCTAGTTTTGTTTAATTTAACATGTCTTTGACAAGTTCACACATTTTAATAGGTAATGAGCAGGGTTCTTGAGATCATCATGGATGGCTTTCATATTCTAAACATGGCATTTAAAAACATACAAATCGGGACGGATTTTTATGCCACTTGTTCGTGTAGCCCCATATACATCTTTCTGTGTACAGCGCTTGTATCTTTATCAAGACTGAGCCAAGTTTCTTATTATTTTGATGGTTCCAGAACCTTGCATTACACACCAAAACTTATATGCTAGATGATCAACCTTTTCTGATCGATTCCACATCGTTTCTTTCACAATACAATCGCATGGCCAGAACTTAACTTTACCTTTAATAGTAATACTTCTTCCACGACAAAGAAGTAACCCCCTAGAGACCGCAAAATCCAGTCTATTTAATGTCATGTTTCTCATAACAGCCAACACTACATCATCATCATCGTCCTCGTCGTCATCCACATCTACACCGATGGCATCTACCACTGTCCCACGTACCTTGCTTACCCTCTTAAGTACGGTAAGCGAGCCGTTCTCCGGCCCGACAACCATTGGCACAACTGAACTCGACGGCGAGACAACAGGTATGCAGCTAGATATCAATGATTATGAAATTATCAAAAATTAGCTGAGCACAAAAGGTTTCCAGTGAAACAACCCTTTCTATGCACTATGTTCATAAATATTGAAGCCGTATTATAGTACAGTTAAACCTGTCTATTAAGGCCACCCACAACAAACAGACAAAGTAGACGTTGTAGACAGGTAGCCTTTCTAGAGAGGTGTCCACTAAGAGAGGTTTAATTGTAGTTAAAAGTATTGTTTAACTGAGGACAAACGTGAAATACAAGGGCGTTTTCGTGCAATGCGTCCCGTACGACATAGAACTGTTATCAATTATTTCATCTATCTGGCAAAGTGGCAATTACCTAATGGTTGTTACAGAACATTTTTCAATGGTTAGCTATAGAGAGATTCTATTCTTTGGTGAATTAGGTGTAAACAAAAAACACGTTGCACAGAACTGCTCACAAGTTCTTCCCTACATCTTTCAAGTAAGAGAGACCCCCTAATCATAAAGCTGTTTCTTCTAAAATTAGTAACTTAACCTAAACACACAGCGACATGCATGGATATATAGACGCTAGGAGAGAGAGAGAGAGAGGGGGTGGATAAAATGTTTTGGATACGTTGCTCCTTTCTTCTCATGTGGTAAACTTATTGTTCCCCTTGGATATTGGAAATAATGTTCAATGAGTTTAAAGGTACTTTAAAGGTATTACAAAGTTTTGGGAATATTTCATCAGGATTGGATCATGAAATTTAAAATTTGCATTACTATTGTGAAATATAGTGTTAGAACACCCAACTCTAAAAAAATTGGGCTCTAAAAAGCTTTTGATTTGGAGTTATTAAAATTTTAAAAAATAAAAAAATTTACCGGTACTCCCGGTAAATTTGGTATAGCTCCC